ACTGCGATACAAAGAAAGACTTCGCGTGCGCAAGTTATATGGTTACATAGAACAATTATAATTACGCATTACATTGTGCAATACTCTGTGCATTTACAGTTTTCCCAATGCCTCAAAATTTTTCTGGGTAACCAACGCGTCTCGTTCTACGTGCAGGAATATAATATGACGACACATCATCATACATCAACCGACGACATCATCAAGCATATGCCAACGAAAGCATCGATATTTGACTGGTGCTACAATCTCGCTTACTTTTACCGCAAAATGCATAGCTATTACTATCACATAATAATAATCTCAAGATAATCTAGATAATCACGATACAATCAGGATATATATGCATATATATATATAATGAGGAATCTCCTGGATAATATTGGGAAAAGATCTACAGATATTCGCTTGCTTGCACGGCTACGCTTACAACGCGATCGCATCTGCGCATGCGTGGGTTTACTACAATGCACAACGTGATTACGTTTCCCACGTTGATGTTCGGGCTCACATCGTCTCGACGCGTTTTGTTTCAGAGAAGGCCTCGCCAATGTCCCTACCGTGGATTATAGTGTGTAGCCTGTGTCTGCCTATACGACGCACGTGCATTTGAAGCAGTGCTCACGCGGGGTCACTATAGGACGAAGGTACAACTCGCCGGTATAAAGGTATCGACATCACTATAGATATTTTCGAAAAACACAAGCGAACACGTGCAAGTGTCGAGACTCTACACTCACGATTACCACGCTATTGCGTTAGACATGCGACCGGCGTTCACGATGCCCACACCTCGCCTCCTCTTCCTCCTGCTCCGCGTTAACTCGCTCGCAACGACGCTAGCGTTGCTAAGTCACATCGGCGTCTCAGACTCTGCGAGGCAAGTACTGCGCGCCGGCGTGCTGCTGCACACGCAGACGGGAGCGCCGTACGACATGGAGCGGGTCGGTCCGGCGATAGACATGGCCGTCGAGAAGGTGAACCGAGAACGGCTGAACGCCAGCTACACGCTAGAGGCGGTAAGCATCGCTTACGGGAACGCCTGCAAGGCGGCGAACGCTCTCGGCAACGCGGCGAAACTCTACCACGACGACGCCGTCGTCGTCTTCCTCGGCCCCGCCTGCGCGCACGCGCTCGAGGCGACGGGAAAGCTGATCGGCTTCTGGAATCTTCCCGTTGTAACGGGCGTCGGCGATCGGGGCATCTTCAAGTTCAAGGACGACTATCCGACCATGACACGCCTGTCGTACTGCCAGTGTCGGCTGCGTAAGGTGTTCGGCAGCGTCTTCCGGCGCTTCGGCTGGACGCACGTCGCCGTGCTGCTGGATTTCACCGACGTGTACGCGCACTCGGTGGGGAAGACGCTGGAGCAGGGGCTGCGCATCGCTGGTATGGACCCGTATGTTATAGAGTTCGACGACAGCGCGGCCAACTACACCGAGCTGTTGTGGAGAGCCAGCGATAGAGCGAGAAGTAAGTGTTGTCGCATCGTAACCTCCCCCTCCCTCGCCGCGCCCCCTCCTTCTCCCCCGTTCACCTCCGTGTACGAAGAATGTTGTTTACGGTTCAGGGGAGTGTGAGCGAAGAAGGAAAGATTCCTGGGGGAGATCAACAAATTTACAGATCGATATAGCGAATTGCGGTGAAAAAAATAAAATTATAAAGCAACCGTCAGATATACATTTACGCAGAATCGTATAGTTTGCTTGGGAGGTTGTATATGACGATGTTTGTACGTTTGTTTCAGGAGTAAATAATTGGGAAGTATGTATATTATGGAAAGAATTCGGAGGAATATGGCGAAATATTAGAGTGTTGTTATTGATATATACGCGCCTAAATGAATTTCTGCGTATGTTACTCATATCGAAAAGAAGGCTAAACGTGGTAAATAATGCATACCTTTCTACCCAACACACAATTAAACACATGTTTTGCACAGAGGGAAAAGTTTCCTTTGTTGAGTAGGCACGTATGACATATATCATATGCACTTTTACGCTCAATATTTTATTATCCTATTCATTTATTTAGCTTTTAAACGGCATGCACGCGCATTACAACATTGAAATAAAATTTATTGTCAATTCCCGTGCGTATAACCCCAAAATACATGTTAGCATTATCTCATTACGGTAATGGGTATAAATTACATGACAATACGCCGATGCAAGTGCACTGGCGTCCATTTAAATGCTCTATACAACCACAACGTGTATTGTTGGAAATACGTTAATTACATACCAGCTGCATTTACTATGCACATTGCTCATCGAAACGTATTTTTACTAAAGATTGCGTTTAATGATATTGTGATTGAAGCAATATTCCATGTGGAAATATCAAAGGAACTCGAAGACGATGGGTGACCAATATGCTGATGATGCATGACAGCACGCAGCGTGTCCCTAGATGGCGAAGAAATTGTTAGCTGTTCTTTTTTTCACACACACACACCATATATATATATATATATATATATATATATATATATATATAT